AGGGCTGCAATCTAAAGACAGCTAAATTGTAACAAAGCATTTTGAAAGGGGATTTTTGCCCTTTCAGCTACCACATTTACAACTATTTTTCATAAAATCCTGTTTTCAAACCTGACCCAAATAGAAGAAGAATTTGCACTGGGCTTTGAATCTTTCCCCGTGTCTAACATGCCTCTGCATTTACTATTTGTTAGCTAACAGTGCACCAAGCTGCAAACCTCAGCTATGAAACATCAGTTACAGAACAGTTTGACTGGAATCAAAAGGATTTACTTACATAAAGCCTGCCCTCCAGTGAAAGAGAAATCAAGACAGAAGCACTGAATTTGTTTGTTTGGGTTTTTTTTTTAGTGTATTTTGTTCTTTGCAGCACTCACCACTAAACTTTTTCTGGATATTACCTGTTTGAAGTTTTTCCTACTAAATGCCAGCTCATTCCTTATGCTAATATAAATGGCTTTTGCTCCAGCATTATATTCCTCCTTAATACCATAAAAAGGAGTGGTATTATTTTGGTATTTCAGTTCCTGGAAAAATAATGGCTCCAGTTCTGGAAGAAAACAAAATGAAACACAGGTGCAATCCCTTTTTAAAAATAGATTCTAAGTAGAATGAGATACACAACTTATCAGGCAGCTCAATCAGCATAATTATGGTGATATATTTTTGTATTTCTGTAAACTTTCTCAGAGGCACTGGCTAATTTAAAGCCCTGCAGATAACCTGATCAATAAGCACAGTTAATCCCTCTCCTGCTTGGTAACCCTGGCACCAGGACTTACTGAGTTTGCCATGAGCTAATTTTTTTTTCTCAAAATTGAGCAATCTAGCCAGACTTTGTCTATGTGTGGATTCAAACGGTACTGATACTAGTTATTCCCCATGACCTTTAATCTCTTCGAGTACACCTTTTAGCATCCAGGTGGTTAGTTATTTGATACATCTTGTGAGAAGTACCACCTCTCACAGGAGCTGCTGGCTTTTCCATGTCCTTTCCCTTTAGTCCCTTCTCAGACATGAAAGCCAGAAAAAGTAATCCTCAGAAAGCAGAATATTTTCTCATCTTGTTCCTGGCAGCTGTGTTTCACCTGGCTTGTGTTCTCTAAGACAGGAGATAAGGACCAGTGATGGTCAGCACCTGAACCAAGTCTGCCTCCCCCTTCCTTTGACTGATATTCAGCCTGTTGTAGAAACGACCCAGTTTTAGCAATGCTGTGGCAAATGGCCATGTTGTTGTAAACAGACCAGTTATGTGTCAGTGGAATGTTCTTTCCAGGCATTTTCAGTCATGCTAATGGCTTAGCAAAATACTGAGACCTGCTGAATCTAATGCTAATAGAGTAGTGCTTTTCAGGAGCTAGGCTGAGATACCACAGCAGCTTGTCATTCCCACTTCCTTTTTATATACAGAACTAACCAGCTCAGACCTTTCAACTAAATTCTATTATTCTATTTAGAAATTCTTTGGTTTAGATAGTAAAAGTTTCATTAATTTCTATATTTTTTAAATAAAATTTCTCCTTTCAACAAAGTTTTTTTACTGTTATTGACAATTAGCAATACAGTTTTTAAAACCCCTCAAGCCATTGTTTCCTCTAGCAGTAAATATAATACTTAAAATTATTTTAATGACTGCAAAGTTGGCAGAAATTTTATTTTACTTTATTTTAAATGATTCTTAGACATGATACCAATGTCTAAAGATATCTCTTCCTATTTCCATTATATGTTTTGGCTTAAGGAGAGCAAAGCCCTGATATCATTTGACTTACTTTCCACTAGTGCCTAAGATTATAGCCAAAGGAAAAATCAATAGGATTGTTATCAAGAATACAAGAAAAAACTATTGAAAAGACCATATAAATAAATAAAGGTTTTTAAACAATCTTTAACAAGGTAATTTACCTGCAGGGACATTTTGCTAAAACATGAGAGTTGGCTAAGGTACAAAATCCATGCAACTACAGAACTCTGTCCTCCCTGTGCGATGTAGATTCTGTTTTCTCAAGGTGATGAGATTTAGTGTCATTATGGGAGTAAATTCCTCATTGTTGTAAGATATAAAAAAAACTCCTTTGCCCTCCATATTCTGGTGAACAATTTTTTCTTCTTGTTAATAATTTGATACTGTTTATCTAGAATGTGGTAACATAAAATATAATTAGGACAATGATGACAAGATCAGATTAAAATAAGATTACTTCTAATGCAATGAGCACAGCTGCTTGGTTACATTCCCACTCTACCCATTCATCTTGTACTCAAACCATTTTCTGTCTCAAGTGATACTACCAGCAGGAAGATACCCACACAACTAAAATACTGCCCTAGTTCACATTCTGCTAGGTTTAGTGCTAAACTAAATACTATCACCAATTCAATTTTCATCATTCATATTGCAATTGTGTTTATTTTGGTTGGTTTTTTTAAGCATCACCTTTTAGGATTGTAGGATTCTCAGATTTCATTTAAGTAAAGTGAAGAGGTTTTCTAACATTCCAGGTATAAACTGGAAAATCTGAAACTCCAAGACTCAAAAAAGAAAAACCAAATCAGTACATGGGGTGAAAAAAGGCTTAGGAATAAAGTCCTTATCATGATTTGACTCATGGGCATTGAACCTGTGAAACTGGCTTTGGTGCACACTCTGTACTAGCAATTCAAGATGATATATATCAGTTAGAAGTAATTTTTATAATCTGAAAGGCCCACAATTTAAAAGCTAGTGCTGCAAACAAGATACAACATCTATAGGGTAAAGAAAAAAAAGGCACTGAAAAATTTTTTAAATGTTTGAACAACATGTCTGAAAATTTTATGTCTGAAAACTCACAAAGTCTTCATGCAAGATCTTTGTACTGCTGAAATCTAATCATGTTCTATCATCAGATTTTTTGTACCAGAACAAGTCATTCCTCTGTGCTGCATTAGAAAGAAGCCAAGCTTTCTGCGAGCTAAACTGTGGTTTAGTTTTACTAGTGCAATGCATCACCCTAGGACTGGCATCCTAATGAGGACAAGAACTGTGCTTTCATACAAAGAGGACTAGTTCCCCCTCCAGTCTGTTTAAAATATTGTTCACAGCTTCGAGCACACACTAGACTTACAGAGCCTACTTTTCCTCACAGGATCTGATGCAAATGATACAAAGTCTAGGTCAGTATGCTCAATGTTTGGTGACTTGATTCCACATCACACTAACTTGATAAGTTACAAGAATGACCATCTTTCACTTTGCCAGCACTCCTTGTTCTCAGCCTGCCAATTGCCCTTGTGCTTTGGAGAACCGTTATTTAAAAACCCAGCAAGCTTCCCTGCATCTGCCCCTTGTTGTTCCTCAGAGCTTGGCTCGGCTGTGGGCTACACTTGGCCTGTGACTGCTCACACCAACAAGCCACAAATCATTTCTTATACTTGCAGCATAGCAGTCTCATTGCACCCCAAGCTCTTATCTTCTCAGTCTGCTTGCTCCAGCACTGGTATTCATGATGTGAAACCCCCAGGGATTTATTTTAAAGGTCCTCAGCAGAATGTGTTTACCATTGAGACCCCAAGTATATCATCCTGGCTGAAAAGGCACAGAAGTAGAATGTTAACACAGCAGCAGATCAGAGGGTTTGTCACTGTGATGGAAGTTATTCCATACCGCAGTTCTCTCACCACAGGAGAGAGCTAGGCAAGAACTGTAAGAAAAGATTCATCAGAATGAAAATTGTTCCCAGGAACACAGTTTTTTGACAGGCTCTGCTCACAGGAAAAGCTCCTCAGCCTGAGGGTGGCAGATCTTAGCAAGACTGATGACAAGAACCATGTAGTTATGACACATACCTAGAATACAAGAGCTCTTTGGGCATGGCAACCAAAAGGTGGCCACCATATAATGTGAAAGACTTCCAAATACATCTTGGCAAGACATGGGGAAAATTTTACATAACAAAATATTTTGATTTGTTTTTCAGAAAAAAACTCTTCCTATTTCTATAATAAAACTTGAGTTTAAAATGGGGACAGAAAATTTGAGCCATGGAAGAGGAGAAACCCACCTTTTCCATGGAAAGAACAAGAACATATCAAGTATATGTCATATCAAGGAACCATCCACTCTGCCTCATGTTCTTGGTGCCTTCTATTTCTCAATGGCTCTGCTACTCATTTCTGCCAGGATGTTACAGACAGACAGAACTGAGTGTGTAACACTGGGAGTTTAGATGCAACAATTAAGCTGGTCAGGGCCCCAGAGTTTGTGAGAAAGGACAGAACATCTTGAAAGTACAACAGAGCAGTTAAGTCACAAGGAAAACAAGATTATTTTATGTTGTTTCTATTTCAGCCTGGGCAAAGCTAGATTAGAGCAAGTCTTGACAACCCTCCTTGTTCAAGCACAGGTCTTGGCTTTAATCAACAAATAAGCTTGGGAAAGAATTAAAACTTTTAATTTGTTGACTAAGGGTGAGTCTATGTCCTTGTTTCTCTCTTACTGCTTTCCTATTTTTCTCATCCTGTGTGTTTCTTCTATTAAATACTTTACCTTTGGGCTGATGAATGGATACTGAAGGTCTTAGTCCCCTCTTCCTGTTTAGAAGACTACTGAAACAGAAAAAGCAATGTCCTGTGCTAATACCCAACTACAGGAATTCAGCAGGCAGCCTCTAAGCCACTAATCTGAATGTAATCCAGCTATACTTTTGAGCAGCACTACAAAGGCAAAGCAGGGTTATTCATCCTCACTGATACATGTGCATTTATCTGAGTATTAGCTGGGAAATTATATAAGTTCCTATATAAGAGCACTCTTTCCTGAATGGTGGAAATCCATACATAAAAAGATTGGGAGATTGTTGTGCACTTTGATTTACTTTATTGAGTAATCATCTGATAGCTACAATGGTGAATTGGAAGTTTAGAAATAAAATAAAAATAAAATAAAATAAAATAAAATAATAAAAAGAAAATAAAAAAAAATAAGAAATAGGAAAACCAACCCCTTTATAAAAAAAAAAAAATCCACATCGTATTTCCCCATATTTTGGGAAACAGGCTGAAGAAAACATTCTACACTGTAGAAGACACACATAACTGCTGATACCCATGTTTTGACATTGGAACTGCAAGTCTGAAGTATATAGTTCTAAAGCCTCAACCAAAAGAGGCTTAATAATAATAGCATGGATACATCACTGCTGTGAAGATGTTAACACATTAAGGATTCTGGGATACCAGTCTGTATAATCAGCAATATACTGGGTTCCTGTGAAAGATGTGGCATTTCTTCTTAAGGTCAGCTTTCAGAGAACTTTGAAAAGCAATGTTCTAGACAGATTACTTACAGTACTCCTTTGCTTGCAGAAAAGTAAGAGAGTAGTTCAATAAAAACTGAATGCACGATCATTTTTCTGACTGGATTTGATTAGTTGCATAACTTTAGCAAGATTATCACAGTGTGTGATCTAGTTAAGCTTTTAGGATTATATGAACACCAGCACCAAATTAATCTTAGAATCAGACAACTGAGATACTTGTAAACTCTCATACGTCTCTGACCACTTATGAAGTCTCTCCCGGTCCCACTGCTTCAGAAAGCATTTGATAGTTAGTGCAGCATTTTATTGACAAAGCAACACAATCTGGATAGATTCCTCACTTCTCTCTCTTGCAAGAATAGCATGCCACCTTGTTGAACCCCCAAGGATGCAAAGTGGGATTATTTTACATAAAGTCCCCCTTTGTAGCATCTGAAATAAAAACCTTTCCCCTAGAACTGCCACTGTTTTGATAGTGAATTCCATGCCGAGTTGTACAACTGGTTACTCAGTTCTTTGGCTGATTTTAAGAATTGCATTCAAAAGTTACTCTGTGTTAGAGGCATTTAGAAAATATATTTATACCTGGTATTGATACTCTTTCAAGTACTCTTTTAGTCTTGTTGGTAATGGCAGCTCCCAGATCTGATTTGTGCTCTTGTTTATAGCTATTCTGCAGCGGTGTTGCAGAGATGGAGCAGATGTATAGAGGGGTTTGTTCAAGTAAAGATGGACTGTTCCATTTGAAGGTGTTTCAGTTCTATCCTTGCACATGAGAACATAGTACTCAATCAAATGCACAACGCTGTTGAACTGTTTAAGTCTAGATCTGACACAAGTGATAGAGTCCAGTCTAAACTTGCCATCTTGATATTCTATACGTAGATTGGTCGGTCCCGCTGACGTTTTTACTGATATAGTCAGTAGATACTCTGAGTGCGAACTATCCCTAACCAAAAAGGTCCCTTCGGGGGCATCCTGTAACCTTTCTTTGGCTTCAGCAACAGTCATGTTGCCCCAGTACCATCCTGTTAAAAGATGAGAAAAAGAAGGGATTTGTTTATTCCTGTTTGTTTGAAAAGCTGCTCTCTAGCTGATATACTTCTAGTCACCCATTTCTTTTGTTGTTTGAAAGCTAAAGTCCTGCAGGCACAGTAAATTTTTATTTGCTACTTAAATTCATTTGTTTTACAATGCATCTCGTTTTGACAGAGCTTTCCAGGTCACTTTTTATTTGCCCATGTATGCATACGCATGCACAAACTTTCCCGCAGCGTCCTGCGGGGCCGAGAGCGGAGCCGCCGACCGGGCGGGCCGCCCCCGAAGCGGCAGGGGCGCGTCCCGCGGCTCCCCGCTGCTCTGCCGCCGGGAGAGCAAGGCACGGGCCGGCAGCCCGCACAACGCCCGCTGTGGGGAACGCGGAGCAGGCTGCTGCTTTCTCAATGCGATCGAAAGCTAAGGGATAAGACAACAACTTCGGCGAGGTAGCTGCGGTCCTGGCGCGGCTGCGATGAAGACAAAAAGCCCTTCCCTCCTCCCGCAAGCAAGCTCCGCGTTCTGCGGGGCCGGGCGAGCCGCCGCCGCGCCGCCGAGGGGAGCGCAGGTACGCGGGGCCGAGGGGATGCGGCCGCCCCGGCCGGCGGCAGCGCCCGGCCCTCTCCCGGCCGCAGATCCCGGGCTGCCGCTGGGGCGCGGCGCTGCTGGCGCTTTCGCTTCGGCCGCCGCAGTCCGCGTAGGGTCGGAGTCGTCGCCGCCCCTCTCCGCCGGGGAAACGCGACCTCGCAGCGCCGGGCGGCGATGGCCAGGCGTCGCACCGCCGCCCGGTTCCGCTCGGCCCGGTGGGGATCCCCGCCGCGCCGCTCTGCCTCCCCCCGGACAGCGCCGCCGCCCCGGGCGCTTTCCCCTTCCCGGCCGCCCGGGCTTACCTGCCCGCCGCAGCTCCTCCATAGCCGCGGCCAGCTGCTCCGCCTCACGGCACTCCTCGGCAACGGGCGCCGCCGCCCCGGGGCGCCCCCAGCGCTCCCCGGAGCTCTCCGCGCTCTCCAGGGACTCGGCGGAGCGCAGGGTCATGGGCGGCGGCGGCGGGCGCGGCCCCGCTCGCCCGCAGGTCGGGGGCTGCCGGCAGGAGAGGGCTCCGCTTGGCCGCCGCGGGGCTCAGCGCCGCGCTGGGCGCATGGTCCCGGCCCCCGGCCCGGGCGCCGCCTGCGAGCGGGGAGAGAGCGTGGTTAGCGGCGAGCCCCGCGAGAGGCGCTCCCGACGCAGAGCGCGTTTCTGGCGATCCCGCTTCGGAACTTCCCAGCATCCAGAGGAGGGACGCGAGGCGAGAGATCACCTCCCGGCGGAGCGGGGGAGGGACATCTCCTCCCCCCCGCCGCCCAGCCTGTCCTCGGCTCCTCTCCGCCGGGGACTCGGCGGAGGCGGCGTCCCGAGACGGTGGTCTCGCTTTGTCGCAAAGGCGAACCCGCTGATGCCCCGCTCCCTCGGCCGGGGCAGGCGAGCCCGGCCGGCGGCTCTGGGACTTTTGGGGCGGGAGGAGGTCGTGGGGGAGAGCCGAGCGCGTAAAGGTATGGGAGAGGAGGGGTAACCAGCGGGACAGTGGTCCCAGCCCCGGCGCTGCCCGGGTTCCACGCTGCGGTGCGTACGGACGCCTTCCAGTAAGGTCATCCGCGAAGTCGTACCTGTAGGAACGGGAACGGAAGCCCGGCGTGGGCCATGCTCCCGGGATGGGAGACCTCCTCTCGGGCAGCGGAGTACCCGAGAAGCTGCGGAGCCAGTGCGCCGGCAGTGCCGGCTCCGGGGGCTCGCCGGCCGCTTGGGAACGGAAGGGGCAGCGCGGTGGAGGACGCGCTATAATTAGCGAGAAGCGGGAAATATGCTTTTCCCGCTCCATTAAATGCTGATATTAAGGAGGGAAAAAAAATCTTTCCTCTTGGCCGAAGCTAACGAGAGGGACAAAAAGAGTCTCTTCTCTCCTGGTGCACCGCCACATCAGGAGCGACGCAAAGCCGGGCAGTACCAGAGAGGGGGAGCCTAGCTGGCTTGGCTGGAGCGAAGGGACGGGGCTCGCGGGAAGACCGGGAGCCCCCCGCCGGTGCTTGCGAACCGGGCAGTCTCTGCCCGCGGGTGCGCAGCAGCCGCCAGGTGAGGGGGTTATGCTGAGGTGGTTCCTCCCCCAACAAGTTCCGCGGCGGAGCTCAGAAACTTTTCCAAATTAAACTCTAGTGGCAACTGATAGGGTGTTCTGACGGGTTTCTATCCCGACAGATGTAGGCAGACGCGCGGGAACCCCTCGACAAAGCCCATCCCTCCTTCCCCCGCGCCGAAGCTCCCGCCGCCGGCTCGGTGGCCGGGCGCAGGTGCGCCTGTCACCGGGAGGGGCTGCGGGCGCGGGGCCGACGGGCGCAGGTGGGAGCAGCCCTGCCAGCGGTGTCCGGGCGCGACCCCTTGTGAAAGGGAGGCTCCGGCAGCGCCGAGCCGCGAAGCGCCGCCGCCGCGGGAGCTCGGTGGGGACGGCAGGCTGGCGAGGCGGTGGCGGCTGGCTGCAGCCGGGCGTCCCCCGGCAGAGGCGAGGAGAGCCGGAGCAGCCCGCCGCCGGCTGCGGGGAGCCTCCATCCCGGCGGTCGGCAGCGCCGAACCGGGAGCGGAGCGGCGGGCTGCCGGCTCTCCGAGCGACGCACGGCACCGTGCGGAGGGGGGCGACGACAAGGGGACTCACCCGGGCTCGGCGGGACGGGGCTGGGGCCGCCGCTGCCGCCGCCTGGAGGTGGGGCGGTCAGGTTGTTCTGGCTCCCGGCGGCGTCGGGGGCCCGAGGGGACACGGCACCCGCCGCCGGGGAGAAGCGTCGAGGCTGTGCCGGGGCGGACAGAGGCTGCCGGAGGAAGATGGTGCTCCTGGGGAAACAACACCCTCCTCTCCCCCGCCTCTCCCCGGCGCGGGCGGTCTGCTCGCCTTTGATTGCGAGGCGAGGGCATCCTGCCCCCGCCGCTCCCCCCTCCCGGGATGGTTACATACAAAGGCTGCTTTCCAGGAACTTTCCAGGAACCGCATCATGTGACAGGACCCGCTCCGGCGCCTCCGCCGCGATCGCGGCCAGCCGGGGCCGACGCACCGAGCCGCCGCCCCTGTCACGCCGGGGCAGCGGCCGCCGAACGCGGCCCCGCGGCCCCCCCGCCTCCTCCCCCTGCGCCCGCGGAGCCGCGGGCGACGCGCAGGTCAGTGCCCGGGGCTGCGGGGGGACCGGGCCGGCGGGGCCGCGCGGGCACGGCGGGACCCCGGAGGGAGCGGGGCGAGCGCGGCCGCCCGTGCCGGGGCCGGAGGGGCGAGGGGCGCCCGGCCCGCCCGGCGCCGGCAGCCGCGGGCACCTGAGCGCGGCGGCGGGGCCCGCCCGCGGGGCCGGGAGCGCTCGGGGGCCGGTGCCAGGAGCTCCCTGCCAGGGACTTGCGGCGGCCGAAGCTCCTGGGACACCCCACCCTGGTCTCCACCCCCTTCACCCTCTGGCGCTAAATACCTCGTTGCTACAAACAGCCATTGCCCGCCGATGCGCGCGCCGATTTCCTCCCCCTCCCCCCCCCCCCCCCCCTTTTTTTAAATTATTATTATTTTTTTTTTAATAATCACGAAGCTGTTTTTCGGCGTAAAGATGGTTGATTGCGCCCTGGGTGCTGCTCGGTAACCAGCCACCTTTCGCCGCTGCCCCGGCTGCCCCGAGCCGACTTTAGAAAGAGACACACACAGAGGGGAAAAGGGAAAAAAAAAAAAAAAAAAAAAAAAGGAGAGAAAAGAAAAGAAGGAAAACAAAGCAAAAGTAGCCGTAATAGTCTCACTCCAGCCCTTGGCTGCAGGTCAGGGCTCCCTGCAAATTGTACGGGGGTATCTGGGAGGGAGAATTGACGGCAGAAGGATTAAGGTGTGTCTTTTTAAAGATTTCAGGAAAGAAGCCCAAACCTATAGCATAATAAAAGATAGTATCTTTAAAAATCGGGGCGGGAGGGGCGAGCGAGCCTTTGTTATCAGAGGGGTAATGAATATGTATGAGGCTGCCCTGTCTGGCTGAGGGAGCGGAGCAGCTCCCCTGCACAGAGAGAGCTCCCAGGCTGAGACGCTGCCTTGGGTCGCACTCCCCAGTACCGTCTGAAATGCAACGTTTCTTAAAAAATTTAAAAAAAAAAAAAAAGGACTGAGGAAGGATTACAAATCCTGAAAGATTTTGTAACAGTTATTGCTTATAATTCTTAAGCATCAGAGGATAAGAGAATTAATAGTTATCTTAAAAATTAAGTTCTGTATTTAGTGATTAAGTAAATTCATCTGAGAAAAAAAAATCTACTTTGTTAAGTGAAATATTGGCCAGCATGATTTCATCTGTTTGTAATGCCTGGGTGCTTTTGAATTTAATTTATTCAGTTTATGAAAAAAAGGTGGTTTTAATCACTGGCAGCAGCACAGATTTAAAATGAGGTCTGAGGAACAAACACGGGCTTTCTTAAGCATTCTCAGAAATGGTTTAAAACAATTTAGGTCTTGAAGGTCATTCTTGTTCCTGTTTTCGTCTGTGAAGTTCAGATAGCTTCAGATCCAGGCTCCAGTGACAGTTGTGGAATTCCCACTAAGTTTTTTCGTTGGATTGATGTGAAGAGGGGAGAGAATGGGTTTGTGCCCCTAGAAATTTAGTTGACAGTTCAGCTACCCATGACATAAAATCTTGCAAAGAACCTCCATTACTTTTCAGAATGGCACTGACTTCACTATGTTCAGGAGAATAATAAAAAAATAATATGGATCTATTTTTATTACTAAAATAATTCTGTATATGTAGGCACACAGCTTTTGCTCAAAAAGTATTTTGTTCTGATATCATAGTGTTCAAATTAAGGCTGTTTCTTTGAAGTTCATTAATGCATCTTGGAGAAAAGGAATACGTCTTGTCTAGATGCAAAGCTGCTTTTTTCCAGCTTTGCTGTAGTTCTCTTTCCCTGTGTTATTTTATTAATGGGATTTTTATGTGGATAGTATCTCAAGACTTCCTTTGCTTCTGCTGTTTATTCGTCACTTGAAGTCATAATAATTTGTTTCTAAAACCACAGCTGGCTGCTATAAAGGCAGAGGGAGGAAGACCACGATTTATGTGGTGAATGAGAAACAAGAACAGAAGAATGTAATAAATGTTTGTTACTTAAAACTTCAGATATTGTTATGAGAAAGTTAGCATAAATATTAAATAGGCAGTATATCAGCAGGATCTTTCCTAAACAGAGTTCTGTTAAATTTTTTTTTCATGAGAACCTAATGTCTCTTAAAAATAGCACTAAATATCTGATAAACTTACAAGAGTATTGAAATTCCAACTTAAAAACTGCAAGTGGATCTTTAAATGACAATCCTGGCACCTCACAGGAGTGCTCTGGTTTACAGTCACCTTTATTCTCTGGCTTGAGACATCTGAAAGTGCTATGGGCTCCGTGGGCTATGTTTGTATTTTACTGTTTCTTTCAACAATGTTACTTGCTCTTTTTCTCCTCTGTCTGCCTAAGTCTTCCATACAGTCACAAGAGAGAAAAGAAATAACTGTAAGGGTAAGAAAAGGTGACTAAATGAAATTACTTTTGGGACTAGGGGCTATACGTAGTCTATGAAACTACTTAAAGCTACTTTTTAGTTTTTTGGCACTGGGATATTTAATACAGGTTTGGTCTGCCTGAAGAGTTTTACTTTATAAAAATCAGAATGGAGTAGGAGAAAGATGTGAAATGGAGAAAGAGAAAAGAAGGAGCAGACTCAGAAAACTTAGTTTTCCAAAACAGGGTTTTTTAATCTGCCATGAAACAAACAGGAATTCTTCTAAACAGTCACTAATACAAAAACTATATACAAGTGAGGATTTAAAATTTTTTTTGTGCAATTCAAACCAAATTTATTTATTTTTAATCTGTTGTTTTGGGGTAGCAATTCTAGGAGAAATATTGCTGTACATATATAAATATGAATGCTTCTGAGCCAGTTTTAGAGACCTATCATCCAACTGGAGATGAAAGGCACCAACTTAAGCAATCTCTATTTTTTTCCTGATACTACTATTCATGAATGTTGGTTCTGACTGTATATTATCCATATAGTAGATATTTTAAATCTAGTTTTGTATTAGTAGTGAAAATATAAACATTAAGGGTTCTTGAAAATCACAAGCAGAATATATTGTTGGAGCTCAAATGCACTCAAATGCATATGCTTAAGACAGGGAAGGATGAGTAAATTTATTTTTTATTTTTCCTTTAGGCAAAAATCCCTTTCATGACCAAGGAAGGAGGCAACAACATTTTTACAGCCCTGAGAAGTGCCTGTTACTAGAAATGATTTTCACTTTGTTCCTGAAAAGCACGCCAAGTTTACTGGTGAGCTCGTACACTGATTTATTTATATAATATGATGTGAGCAGAGGGGGGTAATGTGATTTTGACTCAGCTGATTTTGCTAAATTTGCTCTGATTCACTGAAAACATTTGCTGATCTATTAAGATAGATTTACCTAGCTACCTGGAAGAATACAAGGGGCCTTTCCCTGCTCTCTGCATGCTTAACTTCCCAAAGATGCAGCACAGAATATCTGTCATCCATGCATACCATTTGGTCAGTTAAAATCCCCTTCAGTTAAAAGGACAGCTATTGCTTATCACATAGCTCTACTTACTGAACGTATTTTGACAACTGTTTACCTGAACTAGTCTAAACAACAATGTACAGCTGCCATGGTTTCCCTGTCCTGGGATTGCAGTCTGGTTCTTGAGCAGAGAAATGGGAATATTGAGCCTTTGGCTCCAGCAGATTGGAATGTGTTAATTGTAACTCCACAGCACGAGAAAGGTCTGCAATGTGAACTCTTTGAGGATTTCTCACTTAGCAGTTCGGAGAAAAGTTTGCTTATTTCACAAAGAGTTCCTAAAACATAATAAATAAAACATAGGGAAAACAAATATTTCAGTGTATGGGATCATCCTGCCCTTTCCAACTGCCTGAGGTACAGCATGTTTTGATGAAATAGATTAAGATTTATACCAAACAGTTTTACTCTTTACCAGCTGCCACCTTATTTCCTGCTATTTTTATCTATTCACATGTGAATGCTTTGCTTTTCTTATTATACATTTGGTAAAGGAGAATAATAAAAGAATTCAGTGAATAATTTCTATAAATCAGGGGTGCTCTAAAAGGAAAGCAGCACTTGTGATTTAAAAGCAAACATCAAAAGATGGCATCAAGGGAGTAATACTTTGAAATAACATCTGGATTCTTTTCTTTCAGAGACAGTTGATAAAAAGAAGGATCATTCCCTTTGGTTCAGTGGATAGGTAGACAGAGAAGCACAAAACTGACCATAAAAAGGTGGCATTTAAGTCCATCTCTCATCTCATCCTGTGCTATCTACTGTCTATAAGTAAAGGCCTAACCTGCATTGAGTAAAAGGTTACCTAGCCACTTGGGATCTTCAATGAAAAGAATTAAATGTAGTGCTTGCTTAGTTTCTCCAATTTACTATTTACAATTTAGGATAAAACCAAATTAACATAAAAATACTTTCAATAGGCATGTAAAGGAAAAGTAGAATATGGTGACACAGGGTACTAAGTATAAAAAAACAAGGAGAATTTACAAAGCAGTTTTTACTTTATGCTATGCTAGGCTTCCTTATAAATAGCAGAATTCTAGTCTATCACTGTGTTATTTTGTGAATTATCAAGTTTCACTCTGACTAAAAGTAGCCAAATTGGTGAAAGTTATTGGAGAATAAGTTGTTAATATACATGCTTTAGTAGCATTTTCTTCCCATTCATGCTTCCTTCTCACGAACAAGGTAGAAAAAAGGAAAGGACCAATTTTGGTACAGTATTCAAACAACTACAAGGAGAATATTTGATATGGATTTTAATATTCAGATTATAGCATAAAATGCTGTGACTGTAATATTTATTTACCTTGTGTTTTTGGCTGAGAAAGTGCATATAGGTATATATGTGCACTACATCTATGCACACACATGTTCAGAACCATGCTCCTTGAAGTTTTGGATTTTTAGAGAAACATACACTCTTGGGTTTGGTTTTTTTTTTTAGAAAAATCCTAGAGATAGCACAGCTGAAAGCACTGTGAAATCTTGCATTCTTGTCCTAGATGCTGCCAGAAAAAACAAGCCTTTTATGCTTGAGGAGGCTTGAGATGTTTTTCTGCCAGTTGCAAGTCCTACGCCTCAAAGTAAAAGAGAGCAAGTAATGTCTGTGAAAAAAGTTTTCCTGACAGACAGCATGAAAGCAGCTCTCCTATGCTTTGCCAATCCATAAGTAATAAAGTTCCTTTGTTGGCAGAAAGTCAATTTTGAAACTAATAAGGAAAACTAAAACAGGTGATGCAGTGCCTATCTCTAAAAGGGAGATTTTTGAGTGAAAAGTGAAGTAGAAACTGGGTTATGTGTCTCTGAATAAATGGCCTCCCATCAGAAAAAGATTAATTTTAAGTCACTGTTCTAGTTCTTATATTAAGGATAGTTTAATTCACCCAGAGCTATTTGGCCTTGAGGATGAATTCCTACAATTAAGTGTTTATGATTGAAAGTGCTGCCATGGAGAGCAGACAGATGAATATCATTTTAGGAGTACTGTGAATCATTAAATGAGTTGTAGAACCTTTTTTTGGGCATGAGCCACTTCTAAATTTCAGGCTAAGGCTATAATAGACTTCAGCATAAGGCCTGATGTGTTGCTGTACTTAGGAGTTTGAATAACAGGATAATCAATGTTTACTAATGTATTTATATAACCTTAAACTTCTTCCAGTTAATTGAAAATAGGTTGCCTGTTGTACGTGAATATGCTGCTGGGTTAAAATACATTTTTCAGATCAGTGCATTAAGTGTTAGTGTCAGGTAATGAACTTAACCTGCCTCTGACGTGTTGGCTTCTTTTGGCTCAAGATAGGTATGGCTGCTTTCCCTGCTTCAGTACAGAGGCTGCATGTGGAATGTCATACAAACGTGGACAGATGACAAGAAAACAGTGCTAGCTGCCAACTACCCTCTCTCTGTTTGTCAGGATTAGTGCTTTTTGCTTTTTGTCAGGATGGCTCCACGCCTCGTCCTGTATCTGACTGGCACACTGGGAGGACGCAGCCTGATGAAATGCTGGCCAGGCAGGCTGTCAGTTTTAAGGCTCAGGAGGGGAAACAGACATAGGGCTACTCTTTCTGCTTTAGGAAAGAGCATTGGTCCACAGCTTGCCTTTTCTTGGCACAGCCTGTCCATTCCCAGAATTGCTTGCTCCCCCTGTAAGCAGTTTTTCCAGGTATGTGGAAATTAAAGCTCAAACAGTAGTAGATTAAATTGGACAGGCTGCTTGAAGCAGCATGTCCCCCTGTACTGTACCCAAAACCATCCTGTGGCTCTGACAGAGCTCTGGCTGCAGCAGGGAAGAGAAATTAACTCATGCATCTCCTCCTTAACAACTTCAGCTTTCAGACTGGTGTTTTAAGAACAATTCCAGTTTCAGTGGGGCTTCAAAACTGCCATCCATCAGGAGCAGCCTCGTGAGCTGTTTGGTCTTGAGATGGCAATTCTGTCCTGAGGTGGGGTGAACGGCTTGGGAGGAGAGTAATAACTCCTTCAGCCATCTGATTTTAATCCCTTACCATATGTGACTCGAAGTCCTTAGATGCCCTCTACTGCCATATACCAGAATTAACAGATGGCTCTGTGTAACCGAATTCAGATTTGCTTAAATTTGTTATTCTCTCTGTCCTTATAAATGAACAGAGAAGGGGAAATAATACCCATAATTATTGCAAAATATGCAAAGCATTTTATAAAGTGTGAGTTTGGGCTAGACATATTTTCTGACTTTCATTGCCATTGCCCTACATTTCAAAATTTAACACTAATTTTAGTAGTCTCTTCAGAGCTCATTTCTCTGATAAATTATCCCTCTGTGAATAAATGTGATCTGGAAAGATGCCTGAGGCACAGCAGAATTTTTCCCCAGCATTTCATGCCACATGATGCCAGACAGAAGGAAGCTGCACAACCTGCTGCTGCAGAGCAGCCTTTGTTCTGAGGAAGAAGGAAAGGATGCATTTAGCCATTGGACATATCTTTTGCATAACACAAAACAGCAGGTAAGAGTGTACCTAAAATGGAACAAGAATGAAATTTCTGTCCTACCTTTGCCTGTGTTATGAGAGCTTTTGTGTGCTGGCAGGCACAAAGCAATCCTAAGTCAAACAGGACTAATCTTGGAGGAGATCACTCCCCAGGCTCTTAAGAATGAAGTGCCTTTGCAGTGCTTGGGCTTTAGCTGTGTTGGGTATGTCAGCTCCTTTTCCTTCTACAAGGAAAAGCCAGCAAAACAATCCCACCTTTAACTCCCTGTCCCAGGCTGAAATTTGAAATGAGTGGGTTTGGGCCAAATTAGCAGCCATATTTTGTGTGCATTTTTAAACAAGCCTCATCTTTCCTTAGGACAGTATTATTTCTTTCTGCTCTAGGTGTTTGCTGGTGATGTTACAAATAGAAGCAGGCCCGGCAGGAGGGAGCATGAGCTTTCCAGTGGAACCTGTGACAGCAGGGACCTGCTCCAGGTAAACGGAGGACACACAGGAGAGCCTCTTCCAGGCCAGTAAAAAGCCTGAGTTCCTGAAGGGTGCAAATTTCACACTGTGCTTTCTTTTCCCTCCAGCACAGTCCTCTGCTTTCAGGCACACTGGTCAAGAATATGCTGCTTACATTTTTCAGGAGCTTTTATAATTTTTTCAGAACATAATCTCAAACTAACATAAGCCCGTAGCAAAATCTTACTGTGAATGGGGGCTTTGTTTCTGAGAGACTCTTTTTGAAAATGCCAGGTTATCAGCTAGCCCTTGCATAACAGGCTGAAACAGGAATTTGTTCATATGGCTTTGTTACAGCATATTCCTTCCTTCAACCTGTACCTCCACTTTCTCCAAGAAATACATAGAGCTCTTCAAGTCCTCCTGGCAGGCAGGCTATGTAATGTTATGGTGGCAAACCTGGAAAGCTTTACCAATTCATACCACCCAACGATGTGGTTCATTCCATGTATTTTTATTAGATCCCCATTTTCCCAATTTCTTTAAGGGCATTTCAATCTTTCAGTGGCTTTTTTTCTTCCCCTATCCATCAGGGAGTGAAATCATGTGTCCACAGAATGTAAATAACAGCTGTTTCTATTCAATTTGCATTTATATGCTTAGCACTTAAAAATAGCTTATTTCTAGAGGCTTTCATAATCTATTCAAAATTTCTTCTTAGTCAGAGGTACTAGCGAGATGTTAATGAAATCCCTTTGGACTGGCTGATCAAAAAGGCACAGCAACAACAATGAAATTCTTCAAATGACTGATCAGTTATGCTTCTTCAGCAACTGACTGAAGTGTATCTTTTAATCTCCTTGGGCATTTTAAGATCACTTCCTTGGGCTGCTCTAACAGGGCAAAATATGCCAGGTAAGGAGATTAATGGTTAAAAAAATCTGTTCTGAAATGGTAGTGTATTTCTAGAAAAATTAATTTATCATACAAGCTGAACAGGGAAAAAAACCAAACAAAAACAACACCTGGCAGGGTATTTAAAGGGAACAGCTCATTTGCCAGTGTCACAGATCTTTGAATAAACAAACCCCTTATGCCCGGTGAATAACTGAAAAACAGCTTTTTGATTTTTATACTATTTTCTTTTGTTGACATTTCATGAACCCTAAAGAGGATACACATTTGTATTTATTAATGCCTAAATGAGCATTTTAAGAATTATGTCCAATTACTGTGGGTTTTTTCCCTCCAGAAAACTTTGGAAGCCTTTCACCTCATTATTTTGCCAGGTGTCTCACCTTGAATCTTCAGATTTCTTTGATCCTGTGAAGACTGAAAATTACAGAACAATGACATTTAGTGACCTTTGGTATGGTTCGTTTACTCCAAGGTTGAATGTGTAAGAAGATGCTTACTCCTAAATGCAGATTTTGTTTGGCGTTACAGAAATGCACTTTCTTCTCTGCATAATTGTTTATTCAGAAGAAAAATCCTTTTCATTTTACAGGAGCCTCAACTGGGGCATCTCTGAATGGGAGACTCTGGACTGGTGACTGAAACTGTTTAGAAAATACTAATTACATGTGTGAATTGCTGTGTGTATAAGCCTGTGCCAGACTTATTCAGACTTGGTACTCTGAACAATGGTAATTTAAGATAAGGTAATCTCTAAAAATGCTGTGCGTTCACACTACCTGATTTCAGAGAGCAAGCTTGTCTTTGTACATTTAAAAAAAACGTCCCTGACGTCAAGAGGGAGGTAAGAGGAATATAGATGGCTTATATTCACACTAGCTGTGCTAGTTCCCTCTAGAGCAGACTCCTGTATTCACATCCCACAGTGCTCCTTGGACTCCTTCTGGTGCCCCTCTAGAGCCAACATGCAATTGTGATTTTTCTGTGTTGCCTTTCAGTTTGAAGTTCATGCAATGGTGTGAAACTGTCGCTCAGCCTGTGAGAAGGGTGCTCCCCTGGCAGCAGAGGGGGGGTACGTGCTGCACCTCCTGGGATGCGGTAAGCTTTGAGGGCACAGCCAGCCTGGGTGGTTCAGAAGTGCACACCCTGTGAAGTCAGGCAGGATGAGACCTTGGGAGTGGTGCTTGGTGCTGTCCCTGCAGCAGTGGGAAGCCATGGCTTTCAGGAGGGCTTCTGGAGCTGTGGCAGCAGCAGCAGCAGGGGCCTGAGCTTTGCTCCCCGACTGCCACATAACAAAGTGCCCAGAGGGATCCTGAAGGTGTCCCTGCTGCTGGCGCCACCTCGGTGTGGTGAAGCCCAGGGCCCTGGTTTCACCTGCCAGAGTCACACAGGTACTTTCACTGCAGAATAAATGCAGCACTGCCAAAGAAACACACGGCTTTTCCTGCATCATTTCCACAAAGTCGTGAGTTAGAATCTTGGTTGTATTGAAACAGAACTCACCCAGTTCTAACAATTCAAGCTTTTGTCCCCGGACTGGACAAGGCCTGCTAGGCACTGTGCAGGTACTAACCACTGCTGCTCTTCTCTTCACAGCCCATGGTGTCACCTTTCAGCCTTACCAGTCTTACTTCAAATCTTTCTCAAACAAATATGGCCATATAAAGCCAGTCAATTGTAACCCCATGCAGCCAAAACTAGAGCGTGTTTCTTTCAGTATTAAAATACAAATATATGCTCTAGAAAGGCAATTTCTCTGTCATTTTTCTGACCTCTGCTTATGAGGAATTTTCCATGAATTTTATTTGCTCTGTGCTTCTACTCTGGATAGGAAATCCTTTTGTCTTAATCTAGTTCTAAATTTTGTGGAACTCGCCACCACTTTGTTACTCCATCACTAATGCCAGGGTTTTACCTGTAGGAAAAATGGCATGGGGGAAAGGGAATTCTGTTAACACATGTTCTTGGAAAATAACAAATGAACCTATACTGAAGCCAGTCAGTATTAAAAATTACATAATAAACTTTTAAAAGTATATGAAGCCTTATGTCACTTATAACAACCAAACAAATATTGTTACTTATAACAACCAAATAATTAAGGGTCCAGGAATTTTTTTTCCTAGCATTTGTTTATTATTCAATAAAAATCATCACTTTGTCTTAACTAAAGCAAATGAAGACCACTCCTGCAGCATAGCTCTGATGCAGTGTAACTCCTCCAGATGCTAGCTTCACAAACACAGTACTTAGCATATTATTTGTTTAAAAAAATCAAACACATTTGAATGAGAAACTAGCAGTGTTTAAGACAAGAAACCTCAGCAGTGTTTAAAAAACTTGGTGCTAATGACTAGGATTGTTTAAGAAACACTAATCTTTGGATGAAACTATTAAGCTCTGTTTTGTTACCATTAGTGAGTAGGAAATACATGTTTATACAGGAGGGTCATGCTTCAATAGTTTAATCTTTTACTTAGGTTAATTTTTATTCAACATGCTAATGGCTTAGTGCAATTACTTTTCACCGTTCTTTGAAGTTTTCTCCGTAACTTTCATGGTCAACATTTTATTAGTTTTAGCAGAAGAGATGCTAAAAACCAGTTCTTGCAGAATTTTTTAATCATCTCACATTTTCCTGGTAGGGGGATTCTTTTGCTGAGTAATCAAACTTTGGTAGCAGTCAAAACTGGTCTTATTTAAAAGGTAAACTGCCTCTGACTTGACACTGTTTTTCATCTTGACAAGCAGTAAAGCTGAATATAAGCACAACCTTTTTCTGTATTTATGTTTGATAAAGACCAGTTGGCAAAGCTTCTTAGTTGTATTGCCTGTGCCAACATCTTGTGTTGTCTCCATACAACGAAGAACTGTGTGATACATACACCTACATCATGACCTTTAATAAAGTGGCATGCCAGCCCATAAGCTTCTACTCCCCCAGAAGCCAGGAGATGCAAAATTGCTGACCAAACATGCTGATTAGTTCATGCAGCTTCCACACACCTCCCATGGTCTGATCTGCAGTGTTCCAACAGCTGTAGTTATACACAGTGGAACTAACATTCTGTATCAATTGTATTTAAAGTTTCAGGTAATTCCGTGCAAATTGCCCAGTAAATCATAATTCATCATGTTTGCTTTTGTAGAAGTACCAAAAGATAACAGCTGAAATAACAGGCTCATTTCATAAGAGGTACCAGAAAGATATATAAATAAGTAATTATGTTATTTCTCCAAACAGCTTATTATTTTTAGCATTACAGGGTTGATTAATTACAAAGTAGAGATTAAAATCTCATACACAGTGTACATTTAGAAATTGTGTGTGAATTACTCTATATAGAGAATAAGAGCTCCTATATACAGACTACATACTACTGAAGGCTAACAGAAACATCAAAAATGGTTTTATCTGAATTTTAAGAGTATTTTGCACAGTTGTGCTCCTACATTAAAAAAAAAAAGGAGAAAGGCCCCAATATAGATAAAAAAATATCATCTTCATCCTCCCTTCACAGAAAAGGAAAATGCATCTTCAGAGGACAATTGTGTGACATATTCTAGCCAATAAAATGTTAAAATAAGATCAACTGACTGTTGCATGTACTTTTTCTGTGCTGACTGGCCATAAGGGGAGCCTTTGAAGATTAACTCAGGTTTAGATGTCTAATTAGTATCTGTCTCAATCTTGGAGATAACCCCAAATTTTATGTATCGTAGGTACACAATTTGTTCCTTTATACTGGTGACTAGTGGGTTTGCTCTAGGTCAATTTTGTTATATACAATATAACAAAATAGCATTAAAACAAAATATGCATATTTTGTAGCATTAAAACAAAATATACATCATCTATTACAGATGAGGAATGCAGCCTGCATCTATTTTATCTCTCCCTTTTATAACGTTGTATTGGCTTTGAGGATGGAATGAGCATGTGAGAAATTGCATGCTGCTAAAATTCATAGATTGGAGAAACTGAGAAATGCAGCGCTGGCTTTGACAAGCAGTCGGTACTGTGACTTATAATGACCTGCCACAAGGATTTATTGTGGCACAGCAGAATTTGGACATGACAGATGAAGTTCAGACCTATTATAGCAGCAGCAAGAGAGAAGTTTCCTATAGAACTTCATAGCTGGATGGGGGGGAGGGATGGCAGGATGGGTGGGCAGATGGGCAGGAGGGTAACTGCTGCCTTCACTGCAATCTTGGGGAAGCGAAACAAAGTCATGACATTTGTCACATGCCCAGCAGCACATTCCTCCTGTCTCCTGTGTGCCAGTCCCAGCGTCTGTCCGTCTGTCTGGTGGGGAAACCAGTTTAGGAACTGATGAGCCAAAGCCACTTGGCTGCTCTCATTCCAGCCAGGCTGATCAGCAAACCAGCTACACTTCCTGATCCTGCTTGTCCTGGGGCTGCCACGGTGCAGGGACAGGGACGAGCACAGCAGCAGGGACAGGGCATTGGCACAACCCTCTGCTGCCAATTTGCGCTGTTATTACTGCGCCACTATCGACTCATTTTTTCCCCATGCTGGGACGGTGGAGCTTTTTTTTGTCTCTGAGACACCCTACAAAAGTTAAACAGGCAAAAACCCTTTGATCCTTTAAGTGCAAGTCCTTTGGGAGGTGTTAAGGAGCGCTTTTTGCCGCAGTGCTCCCGAGTGTCAGGAAGGGAGCAGCCCAGGGCCGCCTCTCGGGGCTCAAGCTGCCGCAGAGCCGGTGCTGATCCCGGTGCCGGTGCCGGTGCCGCTCCGCCCTGGGCGGTGCTGCCTCCCGGTGGTGCCGCACGCAGCCTGCACGGCAGCTCCCGCGGCGCGCACCGAAGGGAAAAAGCCTCTTCAAAGCATCAGCTCTGTTTTAATCTGGGGATAATCAGAGGAGAGGAAATAATTCTTTTCGCTGAGGCACTCAGATTAATTGAACTGTGATTTAAATGGTCCGAATTCCTGCTCGGGAGCACTGGAACAGGCTGCCCAAGGAGGTTGTGGAGTTTTCTCCTCTGCAGACATTCCAAATGCACCTGGCTGTGTTCCTGTCACCTGCTGCAGGTGACCTTGCCTTAGCAGAAATGTTGGACTATATGATCTCCAGAAGTCCCTTCCAAACCTAACAATTCTGTGAGTTAAGGGCAAAATTTTTGATACATGACTGAAACAGCTTTCTAATGGCATGCAGGCCAAGCAAGGCTTGAGGAGACTTTTAGTGAGACTTTTGAAAACCAAAAATCCCTCAGTAAGATGTACCCAGCTGTCTACTACCCACAGCAAGGAGCCTAAGATGCTCTGCAACTCAATAGCAACTAGATACAAAACAAATGGCTAAGTGCTCAAACTGGGATACAAAGTGCCAGAACAGACTTAACATTGCGAATTTCATGCAGCTTAAGTTTTCAATTACAAAGAACAAGGGCAACAGAAAACAGAAATCCCAAACTAACTTTCAAAATTTTTTTTTTGCATTGAAGTACAACAATAATCAAGTGGATGAATTCTGAATTCCAAGTTTCCAAGTGAAGGGAAACAAAGCCAGTTGTTTGAGACCTAGAAAACCAAGAAGAGAGCTTCAGATTACTGTGAGAGTAGTACTTTAATTGTGTCATGCCTTGGGTAACCCAGGAAAAAGATTTAGTAAAAGAAAACACAGTAAGATTGAAAGCAGCATCACAATGCAGGGAAAGATTTTAAAACATCAATGTTATGAATTAGTAACGAAAGGGCACAGGGTACATGTAGTGAACATGTGTTTTAGACAGTTTCCAGCCACTGGTCAGAAGAGGAAGTACTTTAAAGATAGCAGCCAAGCACATCATAGATTTTTAGCTCTCAAAATGCCTTGAAAAGCATCCAAAATGTTTGGGAAACATTGTGCAAGCCAGTATTTCTACAGTGATTGTGGATGTTTGATCACAAACAGGGTTTGACAGGCAAGAACAGACAAATGTCATAACAGAAGGTTATGACTGCAAAGGTTTCTCTGTAAAGCAAAATTTCTTAGCAGCATTAGGCAGCAGTAAGCAAAAATGTGGGAAAAAGGATGGGGGAAAATAATTTTAAGTTGAAATTAGTCCAAGGATATATCTTCTTACACTGAAGTCAAACGGTGACAAATTAGGTCTCAGCTTTCCAAAAATAAAAGGGACTCAATTTTCTGCATTGGAACATAAAACACTGCATAAGATGTAAGCTCACTTATTCACCAGAGTCCTCACCAGGCACCACATACTAATGAAAATACCAACATTTGTTGTACTATAAATTGCTACAATCTATTCAAAAAGTTATATTCCAGGCAGAAAAAGCCACTATTATGTTCATGCAATTGAACTTACAGAGTTAAGCAGCCATCCTTCACAGAGACCCCACAGACATTACTTCACAATAGCAGACTTATTATGTGAGCAACACACCATTAACAAGAAGCCAAAATCACTTGGCTCATGTTGGCTTGAGCACAGACTCTGATATCTTATAAGCACAACAGAGTGAAGGAGCAAAAGGATTTCATGCTCTGCCATGATAAACCATTATCAGCTACCCAGCATTTGGAGTTAAAAATGCACTGGCACTAGTTTTCTGTATAAATTCCCACAAGTATTTAAAGGCAGCCTTTTTACACACATCCAACATTGCTTTTTTCACAAATAAAGGATGTTCAAGGGAAAAAAGGTTATTCAGTAGTATCTTTAGAAACTAACTAACAGTTGAGATGTAGTTTCTCTACATCTCAACTGAGAAGATGAGTGGTACTCAACTTCTAGCAAAATCTGTAGAAAATGCATGCTGGCGAAATGACACTAGACTAACAGAAGAAACAAACCCTTCCTAGGTTATCCAAATTGCTTTGGAAGGGAAATGCAATAAAAATATATGATGTACATGAGACAATTATTTTCTGATTATTTAGAAGGATCTACTAAGAAGGCTTTATGAAGTCACTGGCATCTCTGCAGCAGCATAATGTTCCAAGCTAGCCCTTTCTATTAGAGGGCTGACGCCTAAAACTGTAGACTGGAACAAAGGTTTTTTCCCTTTTCCTGAAAGGAAAAAAAGCTACATGACATATACAGGAGGAAGAACATTTAAGCACTACAAAATGATAAAGCAATGAAGTAGAATCAGACCAAACTCCTACTGTGATACAGCTGTTCCAGCTTATGTATGAACACAGCATCCTCACTGCGTGGTAGATCGGGTGGGATTAAACAAACAAAAAACCCCCATGAACCACAAATGCACACAGAAGTTTGTAGATACCTGAGAATGCTGGATGATTTTGAAGAGCAAGTTACTGTGTCTTGGATGCTAAAAATTAACCAAGTTGGCCAGTTTTCCATACACAACAACAGGCTTAACTACAATCACTTGGCTGATGTAGAGTTAAATATGGAGCCAGGTATCTCACAAGTGTAACAGAAGAAGAAAACCAGTTTGTTTTCACAAATACCTCACATAATATTTTTAATAAAAACTATTTCATTAATACTTCAATATTCAAGCTCACCTTACTAAATTCCTAAAAGAAAAAAAAAAAATACTATCCCACTCAAAACCACCAAAACCTAACACATCCATTTCTAGACTTTCCATTTTGACAGAAGACTTGTATGGATTCACTTGACCAATGATAAGCCTCTGACCTCTTGAATTTAATCAGAGCACTCCATCCCTGTTACATCCTGATCTAAGAGCAGTCCATTTGCTGGCCAGGAATGCACAACTGCCTTCACTGACTCCCTGTTTTGTCAGTGCCATTTTGCTGCTTTTAGTAGAAAATAACAGTCAAATCAAGTTAAGCATGTTACAGCCACACATGTCACCTTCTGTAACTTTTATTTCCAATCAAAATTGACAGCAAAGTCCCGATGAACAAGAAGTTATCTTGGTTATCGGTCTTTGGGAGGATTAGGATTCTTGCGTCTTCTGTGATACCTAAAAGAAAAAAAACACACTGCAGTGAGTGCAAGCCGTGGACAGCCTTTATTTTTGTGGCATTTCTGCCCCCAGTGAGTGATCCGAGGGTACACAAGGAAGTGAAATACAAGATACACAAGCACAATCCATCACCACTCGTTAGATGTCATCTCTGTTGTTTGTGGAGTTACATAATGCTACTCATTTCTGTTGCTACATCTGCTACAAGCACGCAATAATCCAATCAGTTCTACAGCTGAATGGGCACAAAGGCTGCTGCTTATTCTTAATCCTTTGTGTGAAGTTAATTTTATTATATGGTCAGCCTTGCCTTTGGCTAAAATGATTGCCATAGAACAAAGATGTTAAAAAGAGCTGTGCCAGACTGTATGTTAAATAGTGTAATATTTTGCAGAAAAACTAAAAAACAAATTATTCTGAACAAATAATGAACCACACTTTCCTCATAATTATGCATGCTAAACAAGGCAGATCCTGTCTGATCTTCATCGAAGTGACAGCTACCCTTTGGCCATGAAAGTCCTATCTTTCCATT